TCCAAGTTATTTTATGAGTGGTGCCAAGTTACTGTTGATAGTTGGGTCTTATCTATAGTAAAGAGAGGTTACTTCTTGAATTTCAAATCACTGCCTCCACTTGAATACTCTCCAGCCCAGTCCTGCCACCCTTCCCCTTTTCTAATGCAAAAGGTCTCCTCTCTATCAGTTAAAGGTGCAATTACAAAGCTTGCTCCTGAGGAACCATAGAGGGGCTTTTTTTCTAGGTACTTTGCCATTGACCAGGTGGGTGCAAGAGGCCCATTTTAGATTTAAGATCCCTGAATGAACATTTGAATGTCCCAAAGTTCAGGATGTTATCCATCTAGGCTCCAATGTGTGGTTTGCCATGCTAGATTTAAAAGACGCATAATTCCATACCTCGATCCACATGGACAGTACAAATTATTTGAGGGTCAGCTATTCAGGTACTACCTAAAAGTACGCAGTGCTCCCTTTTGGGCTTGGAACTGCACCCAGGGTACTCACCAAGTGTGTCTCAGAGGTTATAGCTCACTTGAGGTTGAAAGGTTGTACAGCATACCTTACCTGGATGATTAGCTCTTCATTGATGACTCTCCAGAAAGACTGGTCAAGAACCTTACCTTAGCCCTGCAGACTATATAATCACTGGGAATAATCCCACCTCACTCCAGTTCAGTCTATCAACTTCATTGAGGCTGCTTTAGATTCCCGAAAAGAGATAGCATATTTACTCCTCCCCAGGGCTAAGATTATGTTGCCCCTTGTTAAGAAATTTCTGTCCAACAGGTACCAGTCAGCCAAACACATACAAAGGTTATATGGCCTCCACCACTGCAGTGGTCCCATATGCTTGGTTACGCATGAGGCCTTTGCAAAATTGGATTATAAGGAACTTCAGTGTCAGTTCCGAACTGCAATGGAGGAGACTCTCTATCCCAAGAATCATTGTAAGGTCTCTTCTATTTCGAGAATCATTGTAAGGTCCATATCAGAAAATCTCAAGGGAATCCCTCTACGGGTCCAGTCCCATGATGTCTACCTCTCACTGAGGCGTCACTCAGTCTGTCTGTCGGGGACTAAAAGTGAAAGGAACGTGGACTAAGAAAAAATCCACACTTCACATTAACCCATTTGAGTTGAGAGCCATCAGACTTGCTCTCGCTTCTTTTACAGAGATTATCAGAGGAAGACATGTTCTGGTAGCAATGGACAATGTCACAGCAAAATTCTACCTGAATAAGCAGGGTGGCATGGGATTCCTCTGCCTGTGCAGAGAGACCACACACATCTGGCAATGGGCAATAAGGCACAGGGTGCAATTGTCAGCTATTCATATACCAGGTTTAAACAATGTGATGGCAGTCAGCCTAAGCAGGGACACAGGGACAGAACAAGAGTGGTCCATATCAGATCGCTATCTGGTCCCAATTTTCAAGAAATGAGTCCCTGAGATAGGCCTGTTTGCCATCACTTCTGTTCCAAAGCAACCGTGGGCATAGGTTCTATGGGGGATGCCTTTTAATGGCTATGGGTAATTCCCAAGATAAAGGCAGACCGGTGATCATGCATCCGTTTAGTCCCCTTCTGGCTCATAAGGGTGTGGTTCCCCACACTGTGGCAACTGGCCAAAGGGTGATGCAGGGCATTGTCCCCAAAGGAGGATTTTCTTCACATAGGGCCTGTCTATCATCCTCAGGTTCAATCCTTGGACCTGACTGCTTTGCTAATCCTGCAATAGAAGAGCCCACTTGCGGTGAGGGTGGGGTATAAATATAAAAAATAAATAAATTTGTGCAAAGCTGAATAGGTTATAACTGCCTCTTGCAAACCCGCAGTGAGAAGGTTGTATAAATGGAAAAGGTTTGTGCACTGGAATGGCGAGCAGGGCATTGATCCACAATCATGTAGTTTGAATAAAATCTTTGATTACTTACTGGATCTGAAAGAAGGGGGTCTAGCGACCTCATCTATAAAGGTTCATCTAGCTGCCATTTCTGCGTTTTATATCCTAGTTAATGGACAGTTAGTCATCTCTGTTTCAGAGTCCAAAAGGTTCTTAAAGGTTGGTTTAATATGTTCCCACCAGTTGTAAACCCCCCCCCCCCATTCCTCAATGGAGTTTGTCTCTAGTCCTGTCAAAATTGATGTATAAACCTTTTGAACCCATGGCCACTGTGGAGTTGTCTTTTGTCTCTTTATAAAACTGCCTTTTTGGTAGCAGTTATCTCCCCTGGAAGGGTACATCATGATGTACAAATGCTACATCTGGCAGCGTGGCTAATTCACTGAACCCTGACTTGTTAGTCAGGGCTTTGGAGGTTCTAGAAGCAGCACTAAAGCTGAGTGTCCATGAGCCGTACTCTTCCAAGTGGGACACTTTCACAAACAGGGCTTCAACTCAGGGATTCTGTCTGACTTCATGTCCTTTAACAGTAATTTTTTACTGCCTTCTGTCCCTAAAGGTAGAGGACTATCCATCTTACACTTACACTTAGCAGCCATCTCAGCTTACCATGACAGGATAGAGGGGTGTTTGATATTTGCTCATCCCCAATCTAGGAAGTTCCTAAATTCCTGCTTAGTCTATTCCCACCTTACGTTGCACTCTTCAGTGGAGTCTGTCACTGGTACTGACTGGCTTGAATGGGAAAACTCTTCGAGCCATTGGTCACTTCTAATATGGTGCTAGTTACATACAAAATGGTGTTTTTAGTTGCCATCACATCAGCACACAGTGTCAGTGAGTTGGGTGCCCTCAGCTGTGACCCTCCCCCCTTCCCTTAAGTTCCCCAGGGATAAGGTACCTTGAGATATTTAGTGTGACCTTCCTTCCCAAAGTGATATCTCAGTTCCACCTGACACAGGACATAGTTTTACCTGAGCTTTCCCCCAACCTCACCTCTCCCTCTGAACACACTTTTCACACGCTGGATGTCAGGAGATGTTTATTATTTTGTCTAGACTGTACAGAGGAGTTCTGCAGGGACAGTTCCTTGTTCATTTGTTTCACTGGGCATGACCAGCCCATGCCCTCCTTCATGGTATGTGAGCTCATCATTCTCCCACGTGGAACTGCTCAGAAACCACAAAGATAAAAACATGGTTGGGCTTTCCTGTAATGGATGTGCATCGAGTGGTCTTCTGTTAAGGCACACATCCGTCCCTCCTTCCCCACTGTGGTCTGCTGTGAGCTCAGGGTCACAACACATGGCGGTGGAAGGAAGACCGAGGGAAAATCACTTCCCTTCTCCCAGTCATGTGGCTGGTTTGGGTGGAAGAGATTGGCTCCGGAAGGGGTGGGAGTGCTCTCGCAGCATAGAAAATTCTAGTTATTTGCAGAGTTTCTCCCTGCGGCAGGCCTGCACATGTGCAGTCCCATGTGCTCCTGCACAGAAGACCCACTTGGGTGAACATCAGTTACAGGTAAGTGCAACTGTGTTTTCTCCCTCATTGCAAGGAAGGCCTAAGATCCTTTGCCTCTGTATTAAATTTATATCATCACTGTACCAAATAGTAATTCCAAAACTCCTTGTGGAGTGCAACTGACAGTGCTGTCTAATAAAAAATTACGAATGGTTTGCAAGCATTTTAAAAACAATTTTTAAATTTAAAAAGTCAAATATGACAAGGCCCAGAACAGCATTTTGGATTTAAAATGATGAGAAAGCAGGCAAAGAACTGCCTTAAGGCCTGAAGGGATGGTGCCAAGCGAGCACAATTTAGGTGTGCTCTCTTGATCCTCTGCTGCCTGCTATACTTCAGGTGTCTCCTCTGATACTCTCAGTTCATGGGTCAGGGGAGTGTTAGAATCAGATAAGCATGTCTGAAGGATAAAACAAGCTGTTTAAATTGAGCCTGGAAAAAGGTTGCCAATATGGATATGTGGTCCCTATGTCCTCTACCAATTAAAATTTGTTTGGAGCCAGTTGAATTGCTGGAGTGTTTTCAAAGGTAGCCTCATAGCAATTGAGACAATATCTGTACTTGGATGATGGAGGCCAGATCTTGAATGTTGAGGAACAGGCCCAGCAGGAGTTACATACCTGGAGCTGGAAAAACACCCTTCTGGATACAGCTGCCTTCCTGGGATTCAAGAAGCAGATCTTGCAGTTCTGGGTCTTTCCAAATCAGCTTCCTCTTACACAAGGCCATTTACTTATTAGTCACTCCAGAGTGACTGGAGTGCTATCACTTTTTTTTTTTTTTAATCTGGATTGAATGTCAGACTGTTGGCTCTCATGCAACCTCTCAGTAATTCCAACCAGTAAATTGGGGTTTTGAAAATGAGATTTGATGAAAAGGTGGGATAATTGAGTTCCATCAATATATAACACTGAACTTATGGAGATGTTTTTAGAAAGGCACCCTATCGTGAAATCTCCCAGATACTGATGAAACCATGGAAAGAAGTGTTGTGCTCCCCCTCCACCATTCCCGGTCATGCCAAGTAATCTGGAAGGATATCATAATTAAGGGGAGAGGCCATGGCTCGGTGATGGAGCGCATGGTCTGGTCTGCTTGCAGACAGTCCCGGCTTTGTTCTCCCTTTTCATTTAAAAGTATCTTGGGTACTAGGGTTGGGAGATGACACCTCTGCCTGAGACCCTGGAGAACCCAGGTCAGTCAGAGGGAAAAGTTATTGAGCAGCTGGAGCAGTGGTCTCACAAGGCTGCTTAGTCAAAACCACTGAGAGGTCCAGGAGAATTAACCAGGGCACATTCCCCATGCCAGTTCTCCAGCAAATAACAATAGCCTTTTTATACTACAGTGAACATTGTGGGAAGGGCAAGCAAGTTCCTTCATGAAATCTTTGATTGTCCATAAACATCCAGGTCATAACAGTCATAATTGCTTATAATCTTCCTTTTAAAAAAAACCCAACTGTGCATGTTCCATATAATTCCTGTCAAATATGTGGCCTGCTTAGGATGTTGCTTTTGGGGGGCTGGGAAGAATTCTACAGGATTTTAATGAAGGTGTTCTAATAATTCCAACAGTAAAATCTCTCTGTTTAGAAATCGAGCGATAGCAGATTACCTTCGTTCTAATGGCTATGAAGAGGCGTACTCTGTTTTTAAAAAGGAAGCAGAGCTTGATGGGGTAAGTACAAAGACTTGCGTCTTATATTTTTGGTAAAAGTGATATGTATTGTTTAGCTTCTTCAAAGCTTTCTATAAAATGCAAGCCACCTCCAAGCAGTGCCCCTGATGTTAGATTTTTGTTTGCGCAGATATTGGTACTTTAGCTCAAAGTTGGTTAAAGTCAACTCAAGGATCCAGATTTTGATTTAAAATGTCTTCTCTTTTTCTCAAGTATTTCCCTTCTTCTTGCAGTGCATTCCACGCAGCCCCTTTTTCAAGTGCAAGCACATGGTTCTACAACCCAAATTCTCTTGTATTGTTTATTGAGCATCCCATTCTGTTGTTTGTAATGACTCACTTGGTTGTAATCTGCCTTTAATCCAAGTGAGGAATGGGGGATTATATGTAAGTATTCAATGTGGAGGTTTCTGTCTCGCTGCATCTTTGAGACAAAACAGTGAGCTCCGCATCACCTGCTCTCTCAAGAGCAAGTTTAAGGGAAATGTTTGTTTTGTCTGAACATGGTCTATAACTCAGAAGGTCCCAACCCACATTCTGATCAATGTCAACCCTTGATTGAAAGTAATTTTGTGCTGAAGAGAGCAAGGAATTTTCGTAGCGGTTGATACCTTCTCGCTGGAGGCCAGCTGAGCAGGGGTAGGAAGGCTCTTGGAAAACCTTTCAGAGTCGCACATGGAAAAAGAGCAGCATGCCACAAAACCTAAACTTCCAGTACTTAGCTGAAGCTGCCATTGGAAAATACAGTGGAAGCCAATTACGTTTTATTCTATAGTTAATTCTGGTGTCAGTGTTAGGGCTGTACCTGCTTGGCACTACACCAAAGACAGTTTCAATTAGCCAGATGGGTGTAAGAACAGCCTGTCCTTGGTCCTTATAAAGGACTCCTGTGGGCCACTTGCAATATTGTTGTGGATCCCCGGTGGTATGTGGATCCCCAGTTTGAGAAGTGCTGTTTTAGCTCCACAGGTTGCAGATTACACTAGGTTATTTGGGATGGTAAAATCCCATGCAGACTAAGCTTCAAAAAATTTTTTTCCCGCATAATGGGCAAATGTGATTCAGTGTAAGTATACAGAAGTCCCCGTATATATTGATAAATAGAGGAAGTTTGTTTGAGCCCTGGCCTCTGTTGTAAACAGGAAGCTGGACTGGATTGACTCTTGGTCTGATCCAGCAAAGTAGGTCTTATTACATAACCCTACCACAAACTCTGTTTATTATGGGGGTCTTAAACATAGGGGGCACTTCCTGTGGGGAAAATATTTAAATTCACCTAGGACGGCACAGCATTTTTCCAAAATGAAGGCCTTGGAGGATCTTGCTGCTGCAGGAGCAAGTGTGTGAAACTGTGTAGTTCTGTTCTCCATGCTGACAACATCACATTTTTTATGGCTAGTTTGTAAGTTTTAGAATGCTGAATGGATGTGGTTATTCATGTGCCTTTGATAATCAACTGCCACTTCTGGGCTATATTTTGAGGCTGCTAGTAAATCATGCATTTAAAGAAATTGTATATTTCTCGAACTCTTAAACTGCCCAAGAGTATTTAATCTTATTTACAGGTATATCTAAATTCAGATTCCCCCCTTAAAAAAAAAAGGCATCGTTCTTTTAATGTTCAAACTACCCACCTTTACGTGTTCTGGAAAGGGCTTTGCTTGGGGCACACTCTTGGAGTGGTTTTGCCTTTCGAGGCTGCACACAATTACTTTCTCTAGGTTAACCGGGGTGGTGGTGGTGGATCTTATCATTTATTACTTCTGTGGTTCTGTTTCTCACGAAGGGTTGGATCCAGAGTAAATTTTGTGCTAGCCGAAGGCACTTTGTCTGTGGAAGAAAGTTTTTCTGTCTTGCCTTCTCGCTGTGCTTCCCGTGGATCTCCCTGAAATGCTGCTGCTGGGGAGACTCAGGAATGGTCTGCAGCTGCAGCAAGGGGGAATAGGCGGAAAGGGCATTTTCTCCCTCTGAGGTGGCGGACATCTTGATAGGGAGGCAGGAACAAACTTTCAGCCCAACATGGGAGGCCTTAATGTCCCCCAGTTGGATTCCAGTTACAACAGAGAGTCCAGCCCTGGTAATGTAAGACCCTCTGGGCCATATCAGTATTTTCTGGATCTTATGTCTTAAGCAGACTATGCAGGGTGAGCTTGGGAATATCTGCCACAGCCTCATCCCTAACCCCACCAGGGGGCGCAGGAGATCCAGATTTTTCATAGGGCCCCGCTCCTCCTCCTCCTTTTCTTCCCCCTTTCCTAGGAGAAGGCAGAGTTTCTCTCTGATGAACAAAACGCAGAGATACCAGAGCAGCCAAATAGATTCTTTAAGGCAAATAGATTCTTTAAGGCAAAGCCCTCATTGCATTAGAACTCCAACAATGCCCCCCCCCCGGAGGATGAGGTCAAAGGAACCCCCAGTTCCTAAGCAGAGGTCTAGACCCAAAGGGAACAAGGAGTTTCCCCCCAGATCAGAACCCACAGAAAGAGTGGTTCCTTTCCTTGAGTACTTTTGTAAAACAATTAAAATCTGAATTGAGTTAAAGCAGTGGCAAATAGATAATGCCCAAGTTACCTTAAGAAATTATACGCCCTTCCCTCCTTCGCTAACGAGCTCTTACGGGTACCACTAGTAGATGGTCCCATCACACCTCTGCAATCCTCAGGCCTCTTAAAAGACAGCTTTGACAAGAAGGCAGATTTCACCTTGCATAAGGCACATGAAGCCATGATGATGGCAATCAAGGCTTCTACAGCGGCATCCATCATACCAAGAGCTGCTAAAAAAAACTTTGCCTAAGACCTTGAGGTGTACAGATAGAAGGCAGTACAGTGGGGCCTCCTTTTAAGCCCAACAGGCTTTATCAAGGTTCAGGCAAGACCAAAGAAAGATCTCCTGGAAGCAGTCAAGACCCTTCTACAGAAGAGGACAACTATCCAGATTCTCTAGACAACTCAGTCTTTGATCTGAAAAGTCCAATCAGAATGATGCCAGCAGCATCCCAGTGGGAGGACAGCTTTTTATTCAAGGAAACCTGGATACAATATCAAGCAGACCTCTGGTCCATCAAAGTAGTCATTAAGGGTTATGCGATAGAATTCTTCAGCCTCTCACAGGAACCTTCATACAGTCACCAGTTTCCAAAACAGCAGAAAAAAGAGAATAAGACTGTTCAGGCAGTTCAATGCCTTTTTTCGATAAATGCAATTGATTCAGTCCCATTTCCAGACAAGGGGTCAGGAGTCTACTCCATATTCTTTACAGTGCCAAAGAGAAACAGAGATTGGAGGGCCATCTTAGACCTAAAATTCCTGAACAGGTTTGTGACAATGAGGCAATGCCGCATGGAATCCCTACGCTCCATCATGGAATTTCTGCAACCAGGAGAGTTTCTCACTTCCATCGACCTCACAGAGGCATATCTTGATGTTCCTATTCTCTCAGGTCACAGGAAATGCCTCTGCTTCTGCTTTGGGAACTCCACTTCCAATTCAGAGTGCTCTCATTTGGTCTCTCTATGGCTTTGAGGGTGTTTTCCAAGATACTAATCACTCTGATTGTAAGATTGAGACATTCATCCATACCTAGACAACTTTCTGATCAGGTCCAGCACCAGAAACAAAGCTCAGCTAGACACAAAGTTAAACATACAGTGCCTTCAAGATCATGGATTCATAGTCAACCCACAAAAGAGCTCCCTATCTCCCTCTCAAGGACTGGAACATTTGGGAGTTACCATCGACACCTCCATCAACCAGTTGTTCCTACTTCAAAACAAAGCACAAAGAATAATGGAGCTGTCAAGCTCTGTAATCAAGGCCAGGTCTACGCCCCTCATGACCTTGGCCAAGCTACTAGGCCTCATTATATTGTACATAGGTGTGATCCAGGGGGCCTGACTGCAGCAAGAAAGCTGTGACAACTGTTACCACCCTATCAACTTCAGATCATGCAGAGAACGAACCTGTCCCTCCAGATGCCAGTCCAGGTGGAGACCAAACCATCCAACCTGTCACAAGGCGAAACATACTAGAAGTGAGAGATACTGCAGATTTTCACCAATGCCAGCCTCTCAGGCTGTGGAGCAATGTTAGATGACAAGCCAATCAAAGGAACTTGGTCAAGAGCAGAATCCAAGCTGGAGCTGAGAGCCATATGGCTAGCGTTAAGGCATTTTCACAAACAAGTCAGACACAGACACATCCTCATAAGAATGGACAGTATTTTGGCAAAGACCAAGTGGGTTTGGGGTCTTCCAATCTCCACAAAAAAGCCCTGAGAATCCTTTCCTGGGCCGAGAAGCACTTATTGTTGATTGCAGCAGAACACATAAGGGGTCTTCCAACGATAAAGCGGATTGGCTCAGCAGACAAAAAAGAGCTCTTCTTGAAGATAGTGAATCAGTTGGGACAACCACAAGTAGACAGACCTCTTTGCCTCCCCGACAAATCACCAGCTCAGCTGCTTCTTCACAAGGTTCTACCACCACAGGGCAGAAGCGACGGACGCACTCTCTTAGCTCCCTGGCTCAAGACTCTACTATTCGCCTTCACCCCTCTCCCAATTCTGCCCAGGGTCCTCTGGAAGATGTATGAGTGATCATTATACTTCTGGCCCTGTTCTGGCCACACCAGCCCTGGTTCGCAAACCTCCAGGAGATGTCAGTAGACCCTACCTGCAAATTACTGGTGTCCTAAGACATGCTACAAAGGATCTCATCTGGCATGGACTCCCTGCCTGGTTGCAGTTGACTACCCGAAGGTTGAAAAGTGGTGCTTCCTGTGATTGGAATATGATCCCGACATGACGGAGATTCTACTGGCATCCTGAAGACAATCCACAACAGAATATACAGTACATCTTGGAAAGCCTTCATACAGTGGTGCAGAAGAAGGGGGGTAAACCCATTAAGACCATTGCTCACTTCAATTTTAGCATTCCT